CTTACATTTTTTAATTTCAAGAACTCTTATTTCCTAATTTTTCTGCTTATTGTGTTTTTTAAGCTTAGTAGTCTAAGTTAGAGGTTTTACTAGAATGTCTTATAAACCTTGGTAATCTGTTTAGTAAGAATTTTTTTTTAAGAGTTTTTAAGAAAACTATTGAACGCTCTGAGCTAGTGAGGCTTGTCAACTTTGAGTTTCATTATACATGATGTGAACTGGTGGATATCTTTGGTGGCCTGTTTGTTGATGAACCTCTGCATTTCTAAGTAAAATTTCTACGTGACCTGGATAGAACTGAAATTCACAGTTTTTTGTTTGGAGAGTAAAATTCTGGCTGCTGCTGTTCTAGGAGGCAATGGTAGAAGGGAGTTTGGTGAAAGATGTCATTTTAGCATTAAGCACTTAGTATGCATTTAGCCACTAACCTTCTCTGTGCCTGATGTCCTGTTCAGAAACCCTCTATTTTACTTGTTACAGGAACAACTGCTAGGTTTCTGCTCGAGTAGCAAAGAGGCAGTCATCCTGGGCAAGGAAGGGGCAGAGAAGATCTAGGGATTTAACTGTTCTATAAATGTCTTTCCGCCTATATTTCTGATAGCAGCACCTGCCAAGCTTTGCTTCTTCACTCCAGAGACACTCTTGAGATGTTTAAAGGTCAATCAGGTGGTTACCCAGATTTCCCTCCACTAGCCAGCTTAAGGTTGAGCTGCCTCAAATCATTTCACACATCCATCTGCTTTCTAGCTTCTAGAATATTCTCGCTATCATCTCCTCCTCTTTCTCCCTGTTCTTGGGGGCTTACATATCCAGTTAAATCCCATTAATGTTTTCCTAGGTTTGGGGGGGAAAGCAAAATTCAAAGCAAATGTTCAATCAGCCATCTTAAGCCTGACCCCAATTTTTTTAATGTTAATATAATCTAATACATTTATCTTTGCCTCTATGGTTTTTCCTACTCATGTTTTCAGTTTAAAATAATAAAACATCTTTGCAATATCATTTTGGTATTATCTTCTTCATCCCTGGATAATAAGCAAGGTAAAAATTATTGTCCCAATTTAAATATGAGGAACTAAGACTGAAAGTGTTAAGTGTTTTGCCTTTTACCCAGTCAGTACATTCCATTAGTTCCTGGATCAGGACTGAACCCAGGTTTACTAAGGCTAAGTCAAGACTAAGTGGTGCCAAATCTTGATATTCTGAAATAAGTTTTCTATCCTTTTTTTAAAATTTCTTTTCCTTTTTAAAAACTTTACATCTTGAATATTTACTCCCTGCTATGGACTAAACTGTGTTACTCTAAAATTCATATGTGGAAGCCCTAACCTCCATTGTAGACAAGACCTTTAAAGAGGTAATTAGGTTAAATGTGGGCACTGGGTGGGGCCCTAATCCAACTAAGGTTAAGTGTGGGCATAGGGGTGGGCCCCAGTGTCCTTACAAAAAGAGGAAAGGACACCAGAGAAAGGATCAGAGGAAGTGGAAGGAATGGGCAGACCATGGGAGGACAAAGATTTGCTCACCAGAACCTTGGAACTTTCTATTTCCCTAGTGTAGTCTCTTTTTGAGGTTCGTTCCCAGAAGCAGCAAAGCCCCTTTCCATCCATGAGATAACTACAAACTTCTCCTGTTTGGCTGGAGAAGACAAGGTAAGCGACACCTCACCACAGTTTGTCACCAATGACCAGCTGAGCAGCCTACTTTCTGCATCCCTCCTGGGTCAAAGGCTGAAGAAATAACCAAAATTAACCTCTAGCTCATCATACTACTACAGTAGCTGGCCCAGGTGGGACTTGTCCCTGCCATTTTTTGATCATGGAATGTAAGTACTGCATGGATTTCTCAAGGAACTTACCATGCCCTATGATCTGCCCCAAACACGTAATGATACTCACTCCACTCAAGCATTATTCTTTTCACTTCCAGAGACACTTTGATCCCCTTTGGTAGAGGAGACAGACTTGAGCCAGTCCATTCCTCCCACCTCCTGGTTGGCACATCCTCTTTACTAAATCCTTTCTTCCTTGACAACCCTTGTTGATTGGCCCTGTGTGAGGTGAGTGACAGAGAACCCCCCTTGCAAGTACATTAACATGACTCATTATTATTGTGCAGAAAAAAAATATGGTTGATCCAAGCAGATTGTATATCTACCTTGTTCTACACTAGTAAGAAAGGACTGAAAAGGGATGGGGTTGGGGGTATGAAAAGGAGAAAAATACTAAGAGAACTAACAAGAGAAGTTATATGAGACGGTAAAGCCTTCTGTGAAAGCAGGTCACCACTACAGAATTTTAGCTCATGAGTTCTGGTCTCAGATTAATCAAGTATTGCTTGCCTGAATTCTGGAGATCCATAGAAAAGGAATTCTTGAGAATCCCTTTAGAGATTGGGATTAAGCTTTAGGCACCTTATGTTGACATAACATATAGGGAGAAACATGCAATGAAATACTATCCAGTTTGAGAAAGTTTTTTGTTGTTCTTTTTTTTTGTTTTTTTGTTTGTTTGTTTGTTTTTTGAGACAGAGTGTCACTCTGTTGCCCTGGGTAGAGAGCAGTGGCATAATCATAGGTCATAGCAACCTCAAAATCCTGGGTGCAAGTGGTCCTCCTGCCTCAACCTCCCACGTAGCTGGGTCTACAGACATGTGCTAACACACTCAACTAATTTCTTCTATTTGGGGTAGGGATGGGGTTTGGCCATTACTCAGGCTGTTCACTCCTGACCTCTGTCTTCCTTCCTCCTGCTTCGGCCTACCACAGTGCTAGGATTATAAGCACGAGCCCCCGCACCTAGATGTCTTCCACTTTTGATATTAAGTTGAAACGAGTAGTTAGGAGAGGAGGAGGAACCATTCTCATTGTACGGATAGGAAATCAAAAGCTAACTGGAAAGGAGATGGTCTTAAAAGATGGGAAGATACCAGTGGAAAGTGTAATTTATAATAACCATAATTATTGATCAGTTTATATTTTGCTCCTTCCTCAAGAAAGCATCACAACTTTAACAGCATGGGTAATTGTACTCAAGACTGCTTTATCTTACCACTGAAGTAAGATAATAGCAAAATAAACTGGGGAACAACATCCTTGAGTAACAATGTTAAAGGAGGCAGCAAGTCAGCAGTGGATACTGTAAGGAAGAGCCTACCTGACTTAAGTAAAAGGAGCCCTTTCTTGTTCTAACTTGGCTCACTAGAATTCTGATCTGGTTATTGGATCTGAGGCCCAAGAAATAATATATCACTTTAACCTTGCTTTGTTCACTGGACTATATTTCCCTCAGGAAGTTCAGGGAGTGGTGTCTCATTGACAGTAGAGTATGGTCCTTACATCTCATATCCCAACTTTATATATTTATCTAGAAATTTAGGCACCTTATGTTGACATAACATACAGTAGAAACATGAAATACTATCCAGTCATTGAAAAGGTTGTGTTAAGATAGTTAACGACATGGGGGAAATAACACATTGCAAAATAAAATCTGGTTGTTAAACAATAAGTAAAAGTTACCACAGGTTTTAAAACTTTATAATTATGTCTACATAAAAATGGGGGAAAATACATAGCAGAATAACTCAGCCATTAAAATTATGTTTATAGAAAAAATGATACAAAGGAACAACTCATGTTAAATGAAAAATGGTAAATAGAATTTTGTATATTTAGTTATTGAATAAAGTGCAATTTTATCTTTGTTGAACGTGGAGAGAAGAAAATAAAACAGCGTATGTGAGAAAATTGGCAGTAGTTTCTCTGAATGTTGGAATTATGAGCTCAGTTGGTGAGAGACTTACTTTCTTTATATTCTGCTGTACTCTCCAAATTTGCCTGTAATTTATTTATGATAATGTGAATACTTTGTAAATGCCCATAACTCTTCAGAGCAATGCTTCAGGATAAATGAGCTGCTAAAAATTTTGAGAATTTACATAACTCTAATATACTAGAGAGAAGAGACAAATCTGAAGTGCTGCCAGTGGTAAGAGGAGAAAGACTTGTTCTGTGTCCTCTGAAAGTCTGGATGGTGATCATCAGGTAAGGTAATAGACATATAAAAGCAGATTTCAAGTCAGTGTAAACAACAGTTTTCTAACAACCCTCTGCCACAATGGAATAGATTCCCTCAAGATGTTGAGTGTTGAAAGTGGTCAAGTACAGGCTAGGGGGCTTCTTGCCCTGGGACTAGGGAGGTTATGTGTGTGGGAGAATGAGGGGGCAGTGGGACAGATAACTCTAGCATCATTTGCATGGCTAACATCCTATTTATCATGCACTCATTCATATAGCTTCCAAGATGGCGCCAGTGATCCTTGTCTCTGGGTATTCGTGCCCTTGTGTTATTCCCTCCACATGCAGCAAAACTTGCCAATTGTATGAGCAATTCACCTTGCAGTCACACTTCCCGTCCCAGACAAACCTTCAGATGACTGCATCCCCTGCTGACCTCTCTCTGTAGATTCATGACAGACTCCAGCAGAATGACCCAGTTAAGCCAAAGCTGAATTTCTGACCCACAAAGGCTGAGATTAAGCCACTAAATTTGGGGTAATTTTTTATGTAGCATCAGATAACAATATATTTTTACTTGATTTCTTCCACAGCAGAATTGAGGTGATATTCCATGATTCAATCATTTCAGCTAAGCTACAGACAAATCTTTCTTCATTAGACAAAATGCCTGGCTGTTATAGATGTATAACCGTAGTCTCTCCACTTACATAGTACAGTTTAACCCACCGCAGTTTGATATCTTAGCATGTTTCAATAAGAACAACATCTTCTTTGCTGTGATACATGTCATTTTTTTTGATAGAATAATGTGCTTTTCATTATTTGATTAGATTTGGTGTCTGTGGCTAGCTACAGCCATATTATCAATGTACTGTGTACTTCTCTGCTTCTACCTATCAATTTGCTCAGAAAAAAAGATATGCTACAAATTGTAGCAATAAAACATTTTAAAAAGGTAATGTTAAGCATTTCAGCACCTAAAAAGGAAAATTTATCTGGATAAACAAACCAAAGGCAAAGATAAAGGACTCTGTAAATTATTCTTATACATAGATTACTAAATCATCTCTTTGGTATTAAGATGTATTTTTTAACGTCTGAAAGTTATGAGATATTCTGGATAAGCCTGGTTATCAGAGAATACCACAAACATCTGTGGGTAATGTATATCATCTGTGACAGAGTCAAAGAGATCTGTGGGATTGAAATGATTCTTTGGGGGAGGGGTAACTAATTCTGCTTTGCCATTTGTGTAATCTCCAGTCAGCACTCGCACAAGGTACATATGCTTTCTCCCACTGCTGTCTGGAGTAGAGTACATGTCTTGAGCAGAGTATCTGGCATCAACAGCAAAATAGGTTCCCTTTCCATAGGCTGTAGCTGTAAAGGGAAAGATAAAAGTCTTCCTAAAATTATAAAATTAAACAATATGTAGAACCATGCCCAACCCAACAAACTCTTGTATAAATTTAAGCCACTTTTCATCATTTCTAGAATTCATCTCCTCTCCCCTCAGAAGGTTGTCAGTGTGTCTCAGGATGAAGTACAGTGAGCCCTGATCTGACAATGACAACATGGCTGCCAACTATGGTTCTACACTGCTTGGGTATGAATAGTTGACACTAGAACTACCGTTCACCTCATTCTGATCAGCCAGACATCTCTCTTCCTTACCTCTCTTCCCAGCCAGACTGCGATTAAAGCCGTGTTGATTGATAAGTGGCACTGAGGCTGCATCTGTCCCATGGAAGAGGAGCCTCTCATTATTAGTATGGCCATTCTTGTTCTCCATGTGCTTTTTCTTCAGCTGGTAGCTCTGCCAGAGAAATTCATTCTGTATTCTCTCAATCTGCAGATGACAAAACCCAAAACATATTGGAACTAACCTTAGATCTCAGTATGTTGTACTTGTTGTGGATTTAAAGTAAACAATATGAAGGAGAAGGAGGAGAAGGAGGAGGAGAAGGTAAGAGAAAAGGAGAAGACAATGCAAATAAACAGGAAATTCAGAGACAGGTGCTTTTTGCTGCAAGTATCTATTACTATCTATACTTTGTAGTAGTACCTATTAGAATCTATTTTACATAACAGAATTTATAGTTTATATCAAAATGTTTACCTCTGTGTACTCCCTGGAATTTCTAGAGATTCACTGACATTCAAACTCCTACTCAAAAATTTGGAATCATTCCCTAGCCCAGGGGTTCTCAACCTGTGGGTCATGACCCACAGGAACTATATCAAAGGGTCGTGGCTTTAGGAAGGTTGAGAATCACTGCCATAGCCATTTCCTTAATTCCTTTTCATCTTTAGACCTGTTCTATGTGGGTTTTCTCAGTAACAACTCTTTCTGTTACTGTTCCAATTACGGTCACAAGTCACTTCATAATTGGCAAGTCTGATGACTGTTTCTTTGTAGACCTTACAATAGCAATTCCAACCATGAAAAATCCCCTTTTTGAAACTCTGTCCTTCTTTAACTTCTTTTCAAAATGTTACCCTCTACTTGTTTTCCTTCCTTGTAGGAAATGAAGTTAATTAAAATCCATTAAATCATCACCTGCTGAACACCTACTATGAATCAAGTGCTGTCTCTGCCCTCGTGAGAAGTTTAATAGAGAAGAAAGACAAGAAGACAAATCACTGCCTGTAAGTGAGATAAGGGACAGGTCAGGAGAACACACCCAGAGCCAGGAAAGATCATCTATGTGTTGGGACAGGAGAGGAGGAAATCTGAGAAGATGATGTTCTGGAAATGGAGGAAGATGAGAGTTTCTAGAAGAGTGGAGTGGGTACCTGGGACAGAGGTTGAGAAGAAGCCAAGTATTAAGAGCAGGAGGAAATTGTTTTGCTGAGAGTGATGGAGGCCTCAGGGAGAGTGGTGAAGGTTTGGAATGGGGAATTGGAGAGGCGACTGACTGGAGAAGCAACAAAGGAGTCCAGGCAGCCTGGGGAGTCCAGCTGAGATTGGGGACCGTGACTTAGTACTGATTTTTCCAAGGAACAGCAAGAGAGAAGGTAGATTATGGGATCAATCCAAAGTTGGAGATTTTCAAAATGAGTAGGCTAGAAGGCTTAGAGCTAAGGAAATTGCAGATTTCTGGTAAACACAATGGAAGAGACTTTCTTGCTCTTCTTGTACAGTGGTCCATGAATACCTGTAGAGGACTGGTGTCAGGACCCCTGAAGATACCAACAAGCCAGGATACCCAAGTCTTCATATACAATGGGAATATGGTATTTGCATCTATCCTATGCAACCCTCCTGTACACTTTAAATTACTCCTGGAGTGATTTAAATTATTAATAATACCTAACACAATGCCAGTGTTATGTAAATAGTTTTCATACTGTATTGTTTAGGGAATGACAAGAAGAAAACAGCTGTACTTATTTAGTACAGATGCAACCAATTTTGATCTGCAATTGCTTGACATCATGGACATAGAAGCCGTGGATACAAAGGGCCAACTGTCCTCTCAACAGTCTTTAACCCCATGAAGCACCTCCTCCTTTAAAGTCTGTCCTTTCTGCAGGATTTCTCTCTTTTGGTTCTCTTTTCTCAGGAATTAAGTCCATTCATTCAACTGAGTTTATTCAATACATGTTGTGTCCTACTATGTATTGGGCAGTGTGCTAGGTTGTGGGAATGCTGAGATGAATAAGGCATGATTCCTACTTTAAGAGGCTTGCTGTCTAATTGAAAGGTTATCAAGGTACAATTTTGTAAGTGCTATAGTGTAAGTAAGTACACAGTTCCATGGAAGGAGCAACAAGATTTTAAATGTCTAGGATGCAGCACCCTGCCCTGATACACATAGTATGCCAATGCTCTGTTGATGAATCCCTACCCTTTACTGACTAATGATTTTATGCAGCATAATGGACAGTGTGGTAATCTCCTGAACATCCATCCACCCCATCAACAACTTCTGGTTTGAGCGGAATTGGCCCCACTAATAGATCTATGGTGCATCCTAATTGGCTTAAACCAATCAGGATCTCAATAAGGATCACGCAGTGAAGAATCTTATGGCCCAGGCCCACTCCAACCATATGGTATTCCTGAGACAGAGATAGTTGGAGTGGTCTTTTTAATTAATTAATTTATTTATTTTGAGATAGAGCCTCAAGCTGTTACCCTGGGTGGAATGCCATAGAGTCACAGCTCACAGCAACCTCCAACTCCTGGGCTTAAGTGATTCTCTTGCCTCAGCCTCCCAAGTAGCTGGGGCTACAGGTGCCTGCCACAATGCC